AATCGCCTCATGTACTTCCTCAAGTCTTTCGCATCGGTTCGTATTATGACTGTATCGTGTAAATTTAAATATAAAATGGCTCTCGACAATTAATTTAAGACTTCGAGGACTCCCGCGGCACATTTACGTCGTTGACACAAGCGTTCTCTTAAAACGATATTTACAGGAACAAGTATTATGCGTGGTCTACAATACGTGGAGTAAGCGCATGGAGTAAGGAGTAAGGGAGAGCCCTAACTTCTAGCTTTTGGTGTAAGGAAGCTGAAATACGGGCATGATTTTTAAAATAATTGTAACACTGATTGATGGCATTTTGATTCACCGAGAGTAAGCCTAAGAGCTGAAGTAGGAGTAAGAAATAAAATGGATTTATTTCCTTACTCCTACTCCTTACTCCAGCTTACTCCATGTATTGTAGACCAGCCTTTACATGTCCACGGTCCATAATTAACTCTGGAGACCGCGTAATCAGAGACTGGCCATAAGAGTTCGTCAAGTTCCCGCGAGTGAGAGAGAAACATAGGCCATCTCACTCTTCTACCGTCGTAGAGAAACGCAGTAGAGCGAGACAGCCTATGTTTCTCTCTCACTCGCGGGAATTTGACGAACTCTTATGGCCAGTCTGATTACAGGGTCTTCAATCAGCGTCGGTTTTGGCGACATTGGCGAGCCCTGAGCGAGATTATCGCGGCGCCCATTCGAATTCGAGGGCTCAAAATTCTCGAGGGAGAAAAGACGAGGCGATGACGTCGAACGACGAGCCCGATTTTGTTTTTATATCTTAGGGAATCTCTCGCGCGAAAACGGAGTGAAATATCCAATGCCGAGCCACGCGATCGTTCGAAAGGTTCCAGCAGCAAATCGAACAATACCCTTTCACGCGCGCGTCTCTTTTTCCTCGCGTTTTTCAGCCGCTCGAAGGCGACGCGCCGCGCGTCCGCCGGCGTTCCGTCAGTTCCGCGTCCAGCTCGATCCAGCTGTGGACCCGTCATGGTGTACCGGACATCGTGGCCGCGGGGGACCGCGACGTGGACGGCGCACGTTTCCGAGGCCGCGATTGTCGAACACGGCCTTCTTTCCCCTCGAGTGGCTCGCGATATCGCGAGGTGGACGCGGGTGGCCAAGCCGGCCGGATGTGAGGGATTAACCTAGAGCCAGGAGATTTTCGAAGGGCAGATCCCGTATGTAAACAAGGTACAGCTGTCCGCCGCCTCGTCGATACGCGATAGCGGCCCGCGGTTGTTAACGGCATTTCTTTATCGCGCCGCACCGATATTTTTCCGCCGCCTGGCATCGTCGTCTTGCTTCACTACGACGGCCAGCGGTGCCGTATTGTTGACGCTGCGATGAAAGATTGACGCTTCTGACGATTCTTTTACAGGCACTCGAGCCACACTTGTCGCATTCTACGCAGAATTTGACTTTTGGGACGCGTCATGTCTCGCCTACTGTTGTCCCGCGCTCAAGCGTCGCTGCCGAAGCGTATGTCGCTTGGAAACGAGTGCAGGCAGACCCATCATTCGTAAGTACAGTGTTTCAAGGAAAAGTTACGTCGCTCGTTACATACACGTGTCTAACATTCGCGATATTTTGTCGCACCAGCTGCAAAATCCTCGTGGTGGGTGGCGGCACCGCCGGCTGCTCGATGGCTGCGAAACTGGCGAGGAAGCTGAGCGAGCCGGAGCAAGTTATCGTGCTGGAACCCAGCGATGTGGGTAATAAGTAGAACTCGCAGTGTAAACGCGGTACCTTCGTAGACGATGAACTCCCTCGGCTTTTCCAGGTGCATTATTATCAACCCTTGTTCACTCTGGTTGGCGGTGGTGTCAGTCCTTACGCCTCGTCGAGAAGGAACATGAGAGAGGTTCTGCCAGAGAGGGCGAAGTGGCTGAGAGCTTCCGTCGTCGGGTTTCAGCCGGACGTTAATAAAGTGTCGACGCGTGACGGAGACACGATACAATACGACATTATGATCGTCGCGCTCGGCCTGCAATTGTACTGGGACAAGGTGAGACGGTAACACCTCAAACCGAATTCTTACGATGGTCCAAGCAAGACTGAGATACCGCTCGGCGGGGTTAAAGTAGTGCCTAGTTAAAAAGATAAAAGTTGAACAGCTTTAACTTAGTTACATTGTAGCCTGTTAACTTTTAAGGGTGTATTGGACGTACAATCTTAGACAGAAGCGCATGAAATTGGAAATACCTGAATATCTACTCTTAACGCATAGTAAATCTAGATGTAAGAAGCTCGAACGATAGTTGGAGTCTTAGTTGTGCTCCTACAAAGGTATTTTCCCCTTTACAAATGATTTTTCCTGCATTATTTGCGATTTTTTTCACTCGTGAGCCTAAACTTTTGACAGTGAAAATACCCTGATTTCAACTTAATAACTCAAATATTTTCAAAACTAAAAACATTATTCAGCAGTGCTGGTAAACACATGTGATTTCAAAATACATATCGTGCCGACAGCGCGAATGTCTCAAGTTATATTTTATTTCTTTAAAACGGCGTAGTAAAGACTTTTGAAACTTGGTAGATATTTTCATCTATTCGTATATTAGATGTATAAAAAAATTCAAAACACTGGTACTATTTCTTCTACATTTTTTTATCCGTTTTATTCTACATGTTTTATCCGTGAAGATCGGCTCTTTCTATAAGAGTACGTGTAAATTAAAATATCTCGGCAACCGTTTAGTGGATGCATTTTTACTTTTCTGCAGTACATTGGGAAGACTAAAAGAACAATTTTACAAATTTCTAGCGACTTTGTGCTATTTTGAAGATAGGTCCGATACATCCTTAACTGAATTTAGTTGCGTTTTATCGGTAACTTTTAATTTACCTGTCTCCGGCCGCTCACAGATTCCAGGCTTGACAGACGGCATACGCGACCCTGACGCGCAGGTCTGCTCCATTTACGGGTCCGACACCGTGCCGCTGGTTTACGAGAAGATAAGGAACACCGGGCGGGGGACCGCGATATTCACGTTTCCGAATACTCCAGTCAAGTGCCCGGGCGCGCCTCAGAAAATCGCCTACCTCGCTGAGGACTACTTTCGTAAAGTATAATATATCCCTGCAGTTATCGCGCGTCAGCTTGCGCGCGGCAGCTCTCCGTTAATCGACGTTTGTTTCGCCCAAAGCGCAAATTACGAAGTGGCATCGACGTCGTGTACAACACGGCGTTGCCGGTCATATTCGGAGTCAAGAAGTACGCCGATTCCCTCTGGGGCGTTTGCAAGCAGAGAGGCATCACCGTTAATCTGCAAACGAATCTGGTGAAGATAGACCCGAGCAAGAGACAAGCCACGTTTGAGAAACTAAACTCTCCGGGAGAGACATTGGTGCAGGAGGTACGTTTTATCTGAGATTAATAATTGATATTATTACCGATAAATTATCTCGTTGCTCTCGCCGTTTTACTAGTACTCACTTCTCCACGTGACGCCTCCGATGGGACCGCCCGCGGTTTTGAGGGAACACCCGGCGTTGACCAACGAAGCCGGATTTCTCTGCGTCGATCCCAAAACGCTGCGACACACGAGATACCCGAATGTATTTGGCATAGGCGACTGTACAAACACACCGAATTCCAAGACAATGGCCGCGATAGGTAAGGAAAGAGTGTACCGTCCACATTTAATAGATGACAAAATCCCAGTAAACAAGTAACGGTCACATAACATCAATATTACACTAATAAGAAGATTCTTCAATGTCGCCAGCAGTAATTAGCAACGTCAGTGTTTTCGTGACTTTACCTGGCATTTTTAATAATACGTGCCTCAGTGGTCGAATTGGTAAGACGTCCGTCTAGAGTGTAGGGAAGGCCAGGTTCAAACCCTGGCTGAGATAATAATTTTCGCAATAAATTTTCCGTATTATTAAAAATGCCAGATAAAGTCAAGAAAACACTGACGTTATCAATATTATAATTTCGTACTCAACAACGTGTTAATTGGCTGTTACTTGATGTTCACTGGGATACGATGATTCCTGCAACATTTCATTACGCAGCCGCGCAGGGAAAAGTGTTGTACCAGAATATACTGGATGATTTGGCCGGCAAACCGATGACGATGGCCTACGACGGTTACGCGTCGTGCCCGCTGGTCACCGGTTACGGCAAGTGCATCCTGGCAGAGTTCGACTATAACTTGCAACCAAAGGAGACCTTCCCGGTGGACCAAGGCAAGGAATTCTACGCTATGTTTCTGCTGAAGAAATATATGTTCCCGTTTATATACTGGCACTTGATGTTAAAGTAAGAATTACAATCGACATAGAAATATGTATATGTGAAATCTTGTGTTAAACCTTTGTATTACTACATAATTTTTTTTTTCACGCAGAGGATACTGGAACGGACCAGAATTCTTCCGCAAACTCACGAAGGTACTGAAGAAGGATTAGTGTGCTCGTAGAAGGAAACCGTAAAAATATTTCTACAACACAAGAGAGCATGTACATATATAAATACATATAATCCCCTTTTGTATTTCTTATACAAAGATGTATTTTAATAATATACATAATATATTTATAACCCAGATAACACGTTTGTCAGAAAGAAAACTTTAAGATGACGATTTTAGGAAAACATTTAGTTATATCGAAAATGATGTCCAGATGATATCTTGCAATCATTATTTACGAGAAGCATCTATTATGAAAAAATCTTTGAGATATCTCATTTGAGAGATTTCTTAAATTACACCAATCAACTTGCAGCTATTCCAGAAATGGTGCAAGTTGATTGGCTACGCATTTCTCGGAACTAGAACTTGGACCAAATTCTAGTATCGTGGAGGCTCGATTCTTGAATATATTCGAAGGAGAGATGATGTATACGAATATTCTGCTCTGAAGCCCGTATCAGACTACGGATTGGGATTAGGATTAGATTGAAATTTAACCAATCACAGTAAAGTTTACTAATCTCAAGTTCAGTAACTTTTACTCTGATTGGTCAAATTTCAATCTTAAGCCCGCTGCAGACGATGCTATTTTTCCTGCTGGATTGCTTGCAATCTAATAAATTACTATCGTTGCACCACTCAGCACTCAGGATTCCTAGTAATTTACTAAATCGCAAGCAATCCAGCAGGAAAAATAGCATCGTCTGCAGCGGGCTTAATCCCAATCCCAATCCGTAGTCTGATACGGGCTTTACAGAAAAGTTGAAAGTCGATTGGTTAAAGCCATGTGAATAGCCAATCAACTTGCAACTTTTCTGTAAGAGCAGAATTTTCACATACGTTTCCTCCTTGGAATAAATATTGAAGAATCGAGCCCCAGGAGCAGGGAATAGAATTTCTGACGCGTTGGATTGGTTGGCAGTCCTGTTTGCGAGAGTTGCCCGCGACCGATGGCAGATGGCGCCAGAGGACCCGTGCGCGCGCGGCGCCGCCGTTCGCGATTTCGTTCAATTCAACGGCCACTCGGCTTTCGCTCGGTGTCCGTCTGTGGTATTCATGGCCGGTTGGAGGCACGAGCGCGTGGCGTTTACTCGGAAAGTGTCCGCGATCGGTAACAGTGACAGGTAACCGTCGGCGACGTGCGTTAACGGCGGCTCCGCGCGTTCTGGCCGCGCGACGCGGAACGAAGAATCCCGCCTGACGCTACGCGAGCCCCGGTGAGGAAAATCGCCCCCCCCCCCACCGCCCCTCGCGGACGTGAGACGTCGCGTCCGGAGAGTCTCGAACCGGCGGCACGGTACCGCGCGCGGGCATTATCGCGGCGCGTCGATGCGCGGACGGTGAATTTCTGGTTGCATCGGGCGGAGCGACGGAGGGAGGAATCTGTGCGGGAGATCGGCAGCGGCGGCGACGGCGACGCCGACGCCGGTGACGCCGGTGGAGGCAGAGAGACTAGAGGCAGTGACGGAGGCGGCGGCGGCGGCAGAGGGGGAGGAGGCGGGGGAAGCTGTTCATCGAACGGAACAGCCGCGCGCGCGGAGGAGCGGCGATACGGAGCGCGGAGAGCCGAGTTGCGTTCGTTGTACGGTTCGTGAAACGGGCGCGGGCATATCACGGGAAAGGAGGAGGCGGCGATTCGCTGGTAGGTAAGTGTCCGCTCTCGTCGATATTACGAGCGGTCGCCGCCGCCGTCGCCACCGCGTTGCGTTGTTGCGTTGCGGTAGCGGCGGCGGCGGCGGCCCGACGGCCATCCCGGCCTGCGCGAGTCGAGAGAGCGACGGGCGCCCCCGGAACGGGGGCCTCGCTCTCGCCTCTCGGCGCTCGCCGTGACTCGCGCCCGACGACGACGGGCGCGAGTGACGTAGGCGCGAGGGGTGTGTCAGCCTTCGTGGGCTCCGTCCGCGCGGCGCCACGCCGCGCCGCGCGGCGTCGCGTCGCGTCGCGCGGCGTCGCGACGCCAAGCGACGTGGCCCCGCGCGCGGAATCGACCCTCCGTCGGCGACGCGCCGTCGGGCTCTGCGTTTCGCTTCCCGCGGACTCCGGGCGACCGGGATCGTCCCCCTCCTCCCCCGAAAACGTCGCCATTTGCACGATCCCGCCGTCTCCGGGCGCGCGGGCTACCCCGCGTGACACTCCTTATCGCGTATCTCTCGGGCGGGCTCACGGCGCGCCACTTTGATGGGCGGCGATCGACGCTCGGGTTAAACGTCGTCGCGCCTCGCTAATTACGCTCGCGACCGTATCGCGGCCGCCGTCGCGCCTACACGTTTGTGTCAACCTGTCGTACTCGGGATTGGCTCGCGAACGTCGGTCCCCGTTCGCGTCGGGTCTGGGAGTAGTCTTCGCTGTACGGTTCCTCGTTGGAACCGAAATCCGCTGGAATTCCGACCCGCGAGCGCGCCCGTCCGTAGGCTATAGATAGATCTACCGAGGGAGGGAGAGATCCTCTCTCGTCTCTCTTTCTTTCTCTCTCTCTCTCTCGACAATTCTCGTGTATTTTGATGAATCATTCGCGTTCCGATATTTCCGATTGTGTCTGTTAATGGTCGCCGCGACAACAGGTTTTCGGGACCTACATTCGCGCGACGGCTCGGGACAGCCGCACTAAGCGAGAGAGAGAGAGAGAGAGCGCGGGACGCGAAGCGACGAGCCGTGTCCACGAGCGTGGAGTAAAAGCTAATAAAGTAAAGAAACGAAAAACGCGAAGTTAATATTTAGCTCGATAATCGATGACCGTTTTATATCCACTCCGCGTGACCAGTTGTACCTCTTCTTTTTATTGCTCCTCTCTCTCTCTCTTTTTTTTTCTCCCTTTCCCTCTCCCCGTCGCGGTTACTTTCGTTTCTCGTAGCTGATAGCGTTTCAGGACGCTCGCTCGCTACGACGGGCGTAATCTGCGATTAACCATGACGTCATTGCGTTATTAAGTGCCCGCCGCCGTCCGGCGTTCGGTCGGGCGGCCAGACAATCCGCGTTCGCCTCGTTCGTTTTGGCGTATGATGTCAGAAGGCACCGGCGGCGCGATGCCATTTTGTCAAAAGCCGACCTGCGGTTCCGCCGCAGGCTCGCCGAGCGCCGCTTCCCGACCGACCTGGGGCTCGCGCTCGTTAAGAGAAACGCGTATGCGAAAATTCTGCTCTTACAAGAAGCGTTGCAGGTCGATTCGCTGGAAGGAACAGTCGGCTCTCTGCGAGAGGAGACTTTTCGCATACGCGCACCTCCTGCGAATGAATTCGAGAATCGAAACCCTGGTCGACGATTTATCGTCCGTCGTCGTCGTCGTCGTCGTCGTTGTTATCGATCGCCCGGCCCTCAGCTCCGCGATAATCGCGCGGACGCTTCGGCGTCCCGATAACTCGGCGAGCAAGATCGAGGAAAAAGTCGCGGAATTGATAGGATCAGGGCGGTACATCCGTAGTCCCGGTCTCAACCCTTCCAGTCGCCGCGCGAATTTCTCGCGGGTCCTCGAGAGACCTCGATAAATCCGCGACCCAAGGAGAAATGAAAAGTCAAGATGACGTCAATTTCATGTCATATTGACCGAAATATGACGTAGATTCGGTCAATATGACATCAAATTGGCATCGTCTTGATTTTCATTTCTCCTTGGGAACTTTCGCGCCGAGAATTTAGGGCCAGCTTCACAAACGTTGGTTAACTGCTAACCAAAGGTTAATTGATCCGCTGTCTCTTCTTAAATAATAAGATGAAAAAAGATAGGGAGTCGACTGAACCCCAGTTAACAGTTAACCGATGTTTGTGAAACTGGCCCGAACTGATTCTCCGGCTCTTCTTAAATAATAAGATAGAGAAGGATAGGGAGTCGACTGAACCCCAGTTAACAGTTAGCCGATGTTTGTGAAACTGGCCCTTAAGTATTTTCCTTGTTCAAATAGGTTTTCGGAATCACGTAGTGGCACGTGAGAGAGGGCCTTATTTTGGAAACAATATTTATTCAGACTCCGCGCGCGCGCGCGCGCGCGACGAGTTTTGTTGTTACTTCGCGGTTTGGATGAAATGTTGAAACTCTACACTAGACTCGGGACGATTTTAAACGTGAGATTACGAGAACGTCTTCATTACGCTGGTTTTTATCAGTGCAGATTATCTTTAATCTCGGTTTAACTCGCTTATCATCCGTTTTCAGTTCCAAGAATTAGAAAACTGTAAATAGCGAGTTAAACCGAGATTAAAGTTAACTCGCACCGATAGAAACTGGGGATTCGGAGGCCGGTAGACTGATGCCTGATCTACAACGTGCTCTTTGCGTCTGGAAAGCACACTGTTTTACATAAGCGAGTCGAGACGCTTCAAAGATCTGTCGACAGCGTACGATTGTACGGCGCATAATGTACAATTTATCAACTTGCACAAGTTCTTTAAACGTAGAGGAAAGTCTCCTGTTATGAGACAGGCTTCTTACGTGAGATAGCAGGTTCTCAACGTCGAAATTCAATCACAAATCGTTTCTCGCGACGATCGCGCGGTCTAACAACGAATTTTCCGCTAAACAGATTCAAGAACAATGAAGTCGTGGTGGAACCAATAGATGATGCTTGTTAATTTGACAGAAACCCCGCCGAGGGGGAAACCGCTGACCAAAGTCTTGTACACCAATGCCCACTAATGCCCAGTGGGCATTACTTTACCTTATTGTCTTATTTTTATAATGCCACCGCAAGACTAAAGCCTCCGCTACAATGATTCTCGGTTCTGTCTACAATGGTCATAGTCGTAAGAATAATTGACTGCGATTGGTCAATTCAGTCGCATAAGAATTGACCAATCGCAGTCAATTATTCTTACGACTACGACCATTGTAGACAGAACCGAGAATCATTGTAGCGGAGGCTTAATGCGCCAAAAATGCCTAGTAAAGCCCAGTAATGCCGCAAATCTGTACGCCACAGTGCCCCGAGCAGTTTACCCCTCGAACCCCGCTATCTTATATTAGGAACTTGTCTCATAATAGGAGACTTTCCTCTATCGTCTACAAAATAGAACGTTTCCAGACGCAAAGAGCACATTGTAGATCCGGGGGTCAATTCTGTCTCTTGCACTACAGTGAAAAGGCCTAAAAGCGAGCAGCTTTGTCTCTTTCCAACTGTCCCCTTGGAAAGAGACGGAGCCGCTCACTTGTAGCATTTTCACTATGTTGTAAGACACCGAATCGACCCTCAGGCTTAACGGACGCGGTAGAGCTCGAGCGAATCGGCCCGGAAAAGCCGGATCTCTTCGGGCCTGCGAACAAGTGCGATCTGCGGGAGAGACGGGCACGCGTGCAGGTGCACACGAACGTCACGCACGTACGCACCGCGTATAATTCCACGGCTACAGGTTGCGTAAGGGACCGATCGTTGTATCACACGAGTCCATGCGTTGCCGCGACACAGGGGGGGACCCTTGCCTCTCTTTTTTTTCCTCTCTTCGAGTCACGGTCGCGTCTACAATACCGGATTCGACCATCGAATCGAGGAACGGGCCCAGAAACTGACAATGGACCGTTGAATCGACGCCAGACATGCCGATTGTCCGTAATTACTTGCGGGCGCTCTTCATTGTTTCATGTCCATTTCTACATGGAGAGACTTGTTCTTGGAAAATTTACCCTGAAAGTCGTGTAATCGTGGGACAACGTGGCATTGTGAAGAACTTTGTGAGAGTTTTTTTGAGATTTTGCCATACATTTTACTAGTGAACTAACTTCTGGTTAACAATTAACCAGAAAACGAAAAAGCGGGCCTTAAAGTTGATCTACATTGGTACACGGGGAGAATTTTCTCTCAAAATTTACCCTGAAAATTAGGGCCTGGTTTTTCATTTTCCGGTTAATTGTTAACCAGAAGTTAGTCAATTCTCTGTCTCTTCTTGTAAAATAACAGAAAGGGATGGAGAGTCAACTAACTTCTGGCTAACAGTTAATCAGAAAATGAAAAAACCGGGTCTAAGGATGTTTTGCACATATGATAACGTAGCTGAAATACGACTTTGACGAATATGTGCTCTTTCTAGTCGGAAAAACGATGGGTAAATCGCGGAGGGCATTGTGGTGTACAGATTTGCGGCATTAACTTTTTTGGGCATTGCTGGGACATTATAAAGATATAATAAGGTAATGCTCACTGGGCGTTAGTGGGCGTTGATGCACAAGATTCTGGTCAGCGGTTTCCCCACTCGGAAAAACTAGAAAGAGGTAAAACTGAATTAAAGCGAGATTAGAGTCTCTCGGTATAGAAATGGACATCGGTGCCGGTTGAAGCGAAGGTGAGTTAGGAAACCGTTGTACACCTGGGACGAGAGAAAGAGAGGCGAGATTAGCGAGATGGGAAACGCGCGCGGATCGTGCCCGACTCTCCGTCCCTGGGTTCCTCTCTATTTTAAGACGAGGACTCGCAGACTCGCGGCAGTGAGCACAGCGAGCCCGGCCCGCGATCGCTTTCATTCAGCCCGCGGAGAGACCCGCGCGCAGTCCCGTTATCGTCCGCGATAAGCGTATTTACGAATGGGACGATACCGCGACTCCGGGAAGCTGGTAGCCCGCTGATCCGGAATAGAAGTCTGCCGTTGTTCGCTTCGCGGTTGGAGAAACTCGGGGCCCCGAGCCTGGCGGCTGCGAATGTACGGGGGAAGCAGATTACTTTGAAGCGCGTAATCGAGCCAGTGATTTACACGTTATGGAAACCCATCCGTCCGTCTGCTCGGAAAGATCGTTGTGTGGTCGAGCATTCGTCGTTCATGGGGACACGACGTTGCGTTCCTGTTGACGTAACGTCCTCTCTCTCTCTCTCTCTTTTTTTCCTCCGTCGATTGCCACTTGGTCAATATCGCGGCCGATATTATGGCACCGTATCGCGCTGTCAACGAAGCCAAACGCGCGTATATGCGAGGGACTTAAACGAAGCCACTTACGCCGAATACCTCAACCCCTTAACGTTAATTACCATCAATTCGCACCGAACCACCGTTCACGGTCGCCACTGCATTTTTTTCCTCTGAGCGACGTTCCCGAATTGAATTCGGTCAAAGTGTATCGAAAGTACATGCGCGATTGGCTGACGAATCGCTGTCGTGCGTGCGCTTGTACTTGGCAAAACTTCAAACGGTGATACTCTGCAAATGCCACGCGTTATTTTCGTTAGATGCGATTTGCCTCTCTTACGAGCAATTTATCTCGCGTAATTGAAATCAATCTCCTTATTACAGTCAATTTTAATTGATAATAGTAATACACGTGTGTACTGTCTCTTTTAATTATTCGAACAATTGCAAGTTGTTTGGTGGTAAAACTACTTTACAAGAAGTGCTTACCATATATGTAGATTAAGGCCTGTGTCCACAATGCTGGAACTTGGTCCAAGTTCTAGGCTCCGAGAAATGTGTAGCCAATCAACGCGCAGCTATTATGGAGTAGCTGCAAGTTCACTGGCTACACATTTCTCGGAGCTAGAACTTGGACCAAGTTCCAGCATCGTGCACGCAGGCCTTTAGACCGTAATACATTTCATTAAGAGACTATTCATTTTTATTTAAATAATATACATCAATATGCGCGCTCTTGGTCACTGCTTTACAAACCTTTTGCGCTTATTGAACTAATTCCATCTCATTGTTACACTATTGCTCCTTAATTATTCCAACGATAAACATTCTATACTCCGCTCCGACATCCCTTACTGTCAGCATTTTATTGGAGCAATCTTGGAGTGTCATTATAATATATTGATTGTAATTGTACGTATATTATCGAAACGACGTTTGCCTCCAATAATCCTTAAGTCGACATCGTATTATTAAAATCTGTTTTATATAAACAAAGAGAACACGTGGAAGAAATTGGAGGATGCTTAGAATATCGGCAGGAACAACGAAATCAGTTCAACAAATGCAAAACGTTTGTAGAGCAGTAATTAAAGCGAAGGGTGCGCGTACAACGTTCGTCTTCAATTATCCTCGAGTCGACATCGTATTATTAAAATCTGTATTCTGTAAACAAAGAGAACACATGGAAGAAATTGGAGGATGCATAGAATGTCAGCTGAAACAATGAACTTCAAAGACTTTTTAACGTTCAAAACTCCTTTCGACCATGGTTTGTGGTCCTTTTCAAGTGATATCGTGTCAAATGTTCAGTGTGATAAATTAAAGGAACAGAGCTTAGATTCCCAAGAGGCAGAACATGATTGAATAAACAATGAAATTACAAGCAGTTCAACAAATGCAACATGTTCGTAAAGTCGTACGCGTTACAGTCACTCAAAAAGTAACGAATCGTTACTTTGCAGTTACTTTCTTGCAATGAAAATAAAAATATCAAATCTGCGTTTGAATTAAGTGTCGACAAAAGCGTTTATGTGCAAATGCAAAACCTGGTGCGATCCGTGGAGGTTTAAAAAATATGTAAAGGAACTATTAATGTAACTATTAAATTAGTTACTAGTTAGCGAAAAGAAATGTAACTGATTGTGAGTCGAGTTACAGTTACAGATGGAGAGAACTTACTGGAAAACAAGTCGTAGTACGTAAAAAATAAATATATGTCCATCGAAATAAAGAGATCGATTACATCACTCACCGACAGACAAGTGTCTAGTCATACACCGGCCCAGAGAAAAACTGCTTGTTTGAATATATTTTATCAGAAGAAAAAGCATTTTTATCTTCTCTACAAAAGTAATGACATCATTAAATTGCGTCAACTAAAATGGACATTTATACAAACTAGATACTTTATTATCTTAAAATTATATCCAAACAATCGAGCATAAGATTTTACCTCGGATTTTACCGAAAGAAATAAAGGAGACAGTAACACTAATGGGACAAATTTTTAATACTTATTCAACAAAAATCTAATGCAAACAAACTTTAATGCAAATAAACGTTTCGTTTCAGAGATGGCCTTTTCTAATTTAATTGTTGAATTTGAATATTTTATCATAACCGAGGTTGCAAAATGTTAATAAAAATACATGTGCATGTGACACGAGCAGAAATAGCGACGGGACGTAACGCGATGATGAGATAATCGACGAATATAAATCTCAAACGTAGATATAGCGCGGCGCGAGTAAACAGAGTGGCAAGGCTCCTGGCTGTCTTTTATTCTCACGTCAAGTCCACGGGGTTATCGATTGCTACTCCGGGTAGAGTATCAAGAAATACGAGACACGTACGAAATCATGCGGAGGGAGCGAATTTGGCCGTACAATCGGACGGGTTCGATTGTGTTTCGCGCTTGCGTGCTACGTAATCCTGCGGTCAGCCGTCGCGCTCTTTTTTTTTTCCTTCCATTCCCCTCTCTTTCTCCTGCACTTTGTCCGTTGTTGCAGCGGAAGTGCACGCGCATGACGTTTTCCGGCGCGGTAACGAGTCGGAAGCCGCGGGCTTCGCGGGCGGCGAAGCGAGTCGGTCGAGTCGCGGAGGCGACTCGTCGATTTCTGCGAGGCTCTCCCGGGGGCGAATCCGGTCGCGTAACGTCGAATCCCGACGGGCGGAGAAAGAAGACGCGGTTCTCTCGCCGGGCGAAAGGGAATCGCCGCGCACTTGGCGAATTGGAACGCGGTCGCGCGACGTAACCGATGCTCGCGCGCCGGCGAAACACCCGGCGTGGGATTTCCGGCCGACGCGGACGGACGGACGGACGGGGCCGGCGAGGGAAACGCGGCGTGAAAAGGTGGAAAGCGCCGCGCGGCCCCGCCGTAGGACGTGGACGCGCGCGTATAGCCGGGTGCGAGAGCGTTGCGTGGTGCGGCGATGCCACCGGTACTTGGCGTAAGGAAAGCCAAGCGGTGAACGACCGTTGACACAGATCCCGAGCCGAGCGAGCGAGTCGCGCGGGTAAAATAGCCGGCACAGTTGAGCATTCTATTTTACATCGTTAACGGGACGACGCCCGCGGCTAATTAACGGGGCCAGGGGGGAGAAAAAAAATCGAATGGACGAAACCCCCCCTCCACCCCCCCCCCACCCCCGCGCCCGAATAAAGGGGTAACCGCGCGCGTTGTGTAAACGCGTTCCGCGTCGTCGTTGCACGCACACGATTCCCGGTAGGGCCCCCGCGACTTTATTGATCGCACACCGGTAAGGTGTCCATACCCTCGCACCGGATTCGGGAGAAACGAGCGTAAACGCCGCGCTTTCGCATAACGCGAAACGGCGGCGTGACCGACGCTTCGGCGAAGCGCCAGGCTGCCGTTGCGCGCCGTGGCCTACGTTGCTCTCGGGTTGCTCAGGTCGATTCCGTTCTTTGTCCATTGTCCGCTGTTCCTGGAACGGGCGCGTTACTTGGAAGAAGAGTCCTTGGCCGTCGCGCAAAGTGATCGTTTGTTTAATATCAATTATGATGGGACTGGATCGATGTTAATTTTTTCCCCCCGTACTTTTATGCGTTGCCACTTTTAACGAAAATTGACCTTTAGCTGTAGCGGTGATACTGGAACATGACATTTTACAGTTGCCGGTACTTGTACGAGGCTCGAAAATGGCAGACACGAGCCAGCAGGCGTTAAGCGAGCCACACACGAACGGAGTGATGGACGGTTTGACGGAAGATGAAAAGAGCAAGATGAGACCCGCCGATATCGATGCGGTAAGTCGCGCGGAACACGTTTCCCCACTAATAGAAATCGAAGGATGCGTTTCGGGGGCGCTCCACTGCTTTCTTATCCGAGTTTCCGCCAGCGCGAGAGACGCTTGGAAGACGAGCGAGTTAACAATTCGCGTGCAAACACCTTTGAACACGAGGATTCCATTCATTTTGCAGGATATGAGAGAAATGGAGAGGAGAAAGAGGGTCGAGATGATGATGAACTCGCGAATCTTCCGGGAAGAGCTGGAACGTATAATTGAGACACAGATGAGGGACGGTGCTGGACCCTCTGGTCTCCTGCAACAGATCTCCGATATGATGGGCGCACAGGGGGCCCGATTCAACGGCAATGTGTTCAAAAGTTAGTCTTGTCCCCTTCGAAACTGCCTCCTCCCCCTGCTCTCTCTTTTTTTTTGTTGTTTTCATTTGTTGCTCCTATTCTGACACGGTTTGCTCGGGGAAATTCGCAGATTCAAATTGCGTCTTGCCCATCAACGACATACGCGGCGTGGAGAGCATGGGATACGCCAAGGGCGAGAAATTGCTGCGGTGCAAGATGGCAGCGGTGTTCAGACTGCTCGACCTCTACGGATGGACGCAGGGCGTCGGCGGGCACATCACCTCCCGCCTGAATCAGGATCAGGAGCACTTTCTGGTGAATCCTTACGGGCTACTGTATCACGAGGTCACCGCCTCGAGTTTGATCAAGGTGGACATGCAGGGCGCAATTGTCGAGCAGGGGACGACGAACTTCGGCGTGCACGTCACTGGTTTCCAATTACATTCGACAATGCACGCTGCGAGACCCGATATCAAGTGTATTATTCATATTACTACTCCGTCCGTTACCGCTGTGAGTAAACGCCTCGCCTCCTGTTTCTTCGTTCTCCGATTTATCCGCCTCTCGTCTCGTGTGTCTTTTACGAGCGCTTTGTGCACATTGTGCTCGCGATTACGCGATGTCGCTTTAATAGCGGTTGATGAGGAACATTTGGCTCCGCTCCGTAAGGAATTGACTGACGCATGTATAACACGTTGTTGTAGGTTTCCTCCTTGAAGTGTGGATTGTTACCAATCGGTCAGGAGAGCATAGTGATAGGCGAAGTGAGCACCCATCAGTACATAGGAGGTTCCGTCGAGCCGGAGGAACGGGAGAAGATCGCTAGAAACCTCGGGCCGATCAATAAGGTTATGCTCCTGACGAATCGCGGCGCCCTTTGCTGCGGAGAAACAGTCGAAGAGGCGTTCTTTAACGTTTACAATACCGTAGTCGCCTGCGAAACGCAGCTGAAGCTAATGCCCGCGGGCGTAGACAATCTAAGCCTTATCAGCGAAGAATCGAAGAAAGCTATATTCGAAGCGTCACGAAAACCACCGATCCCTCAGCAGCAGAGTTCAGCGGTGGAGTCGTCCGCTCTCGCGGAGAAACTCGAGAAACGCTGGAGAATCGGCAGCGCCGAATTCGAGGCCCTCATGAGGATGCTTGATAACGCCGTAAGTTTGTTCTGACCATTCGCTGTAATATTTGTGTAGGAGTAATATATCTCAACGTCGCTTCTTTTCTCCTCAGGGATTCCGTACGGGCTACATATATAGGAATCCACTTGTAAAGGGAGAACCCCCGAAACCGCGAAACGATGTTGAGGTTCCACCGGCCGTGTCGTCCCTAGGATACCTGCTCGAAGAGGAGGAATTGTATAAGCAAGGGTAAGTTTCTACTCTCCTTCAATTCGGGGATATTTTGTTTTAACGCCACTAGGTATTCACGACTCAGCCAATTTCTCATTTCTTCCCCTCGCACAGGCTGTGGAAGGGCGGACGCAAAGGTACGGACAGATCCCGTTGGTTAAATTCGCCAAATGTTTACCAGAAGGTTGAGATCCTGGAAACTGGAACACCCGATCCTAAAAAGATCACCAAGGTAGAAGTCATTACTTTTGAGAATAAGAACGACTAATTATTAATTTCCACGCCGCGAGTAAGCAAGCACTTTTATTGGACAATTATAACCGCGTATTGTGGCTGCTAATCGGATTACGAGTTGCGTAATAACGAAAGAGGAAAGCTTTAAATGTGTCAAGTGCAAAATTAAACAGTTATGACATATTAATATATATATATTAATAGTTATAACATATATTGATATAGATTGTAGAATCGTTTATCAGATTTGTTTGCTTAATTTCATTTGAGAATATTATTTTTGAGACTCTAATTTTCCTTCAGACCCTTTGATATTTCGCTTTGCGATTGTATCGCAGATCTGTCTAATTAGATAAAAACTTTGTTGATATTAGATTTTTGTAGATTGAATAATACCACGGTAATATTATAAAGATTCTTTGCTTTGTTTTCCGTGAATAATTTTTATTTTATCGAACAATGTTGAAAGGTATTTTTAGTGATGATCGAGAAAGACAGATGCGCATATTTACGGCCGTAAATAGATAGTATATTCATATATGCAATGCGACGTAACGCATTGGTTATTTCGTTTTGTTAGCAGTCAGTTGCATTTTAAAGTTGCACGTTATGTTGTGCAACTTCGTCTTGTTTTTATCAAATTATTTTTATTAATTTTAATTTTGTTGTACAAGCAGAGACCAATATACTAATTAATCACGATTAATTATATAAATTCCACGCATTCCAACTTGTGCCATTAATTATCAACATTAACTGCTGATACGTAACGATAATACCTTTGATATTATGTAACTTTCAATCATGGCAAACGTATCTTTGAACAAACAATATATCTTATTGACGTTGGTTAGAGTGTACTGACTTATATAGCGATATATCGCTCTTTTAAAACTACTTATAGATATAAATCTAACTCTTGTTACAACAGAGCTTGATTGACATTATTTAATAAATGCTTATTATAATGCGACAAAACTAATTGAAAGTTCAAAGTTGGAGCAAAAATCACAGTTTTAGACGCTACGACCAATGTGTGTTCCTGTGCCTGTGTGTATGCACGCGCGTACGTGATTTGTGTGTACAAACATTGGTCACTTGATAACATGATATTAACGAAAAGATATCACATTTATTATTTCAAAAACTAATTTTAACGCACAACTTTTCATATACGTGCAATAGAAGTGTTACCGCGATATAAAAAAGTATTAAATAATTTTTCATTTTTAATTTGTTGCCAGTTGAAAAAACGTTTTATGGGCTATATAATTTTTTTTTATCATACATTTATCTACATTTCGAGATTGATGGCATGATTAGAATAACTCGTTTTTCTAAATCGTAAAGAAATGTTCTCTTAGTATATTACTATTCAATAAACACGAATCTTTTATAGTAAAGTATATACAATAAGATTATAACGCGCGCAAAACGAGAGACAGAACGAGAGCGGTTAATATTTCCGCAAGCGACAGTTACGAAACATTAACGTGTTGAATTCCAGTCAATCGTTAGTATAAGTACCTCTACGTATAAGATATTAACGACTGTTCTACTGTAGCTTCTTGATGTTTAAATAAAGTTATACTGCTGTTTGAAAAAGATGATTATATCAACTTTAATGGAGCTTCAACTTTAATAGCGTTCCAAGCACTATTTATAGCCCGCAGACGCTACGTTAATAAATTTAGCTTACTTTCTACGATGCGAAGTTATATGTATGTTGTCGTCTACAATATATTTATTGACAATAATTACACGATTCTGAGATTATCTGTTCTGCGAAATAACCCTCCATCAAGTAGCCTCGTACGTAATCTTGGGATAAAAGTTTCGTACGTGTAATAGAAGTACAATGGTTTGGCATTTCAAGTTTGTGGCGTTCTATCCCATTATTGTATTAGGCGGGAATAAAATAACGGTTTTATGTATTGTGTCTTAAGTATTTTTGCCACAATATGTATATAAAACATATGTAAATGTTTCTCACGACTCTGTATGAATGTGTGCCTGATCTCATCATCAAGATCTCGTTGGCCTGGTTACACTGAGCCCACTGCATTTACAAAACCAGATCAAGTGACCCTTCACATTTCGCAAATCTAAGCCATTTTCTTGAAGCTAAATGTTAGGCTTAGCAATTAATGTTGCCAGATTGTCGAGTTGTACTTTCGTATTGCATGTAATTGTATTGAATTTTTTTTTCGAATCACTCAAGACGCTGAAAAATGTGAATTGCAACAATATGACACACAGCTGCGATACCAAATCATAATGTTATTAAAGATATGTTGCCAGTTTTAATTATTCTCTGGGATAATCTATTAAAGGGGAGAAAAATATGCAGCAGGCACACATAGCATGCAAGAGTCTTACCTTATGTTAGCATAATTGCTTCTCACAATGATTCGAAGGGGGTCGACTAATGTTCTGGTTTTGTGTGTAGTGGGTGTCTGATGGATCTCCTACCCATAGCAGCACACCAGTCAAGATAGACGGTGCTCTTCAGTTTGTTCCGAAAAATACCAACCCAAAGGAGTTCAAACAATTACAACAGCAGGTAAGTATTGTCCGTTACATTCGCGTTATACCAAATTTGTCTTTGTTTCTGCTTTCTTTCCATATCAGTTAATTTGCATAAATGGGAACGTACAAATTTGATGTACTTTCGTATCTCTAGATTAAAGATTATCGACGGGCAGAGAAAATATCGGCTGGCCCGCAATCCCATATACTGGAAGGTGTATCATGGGAGGAAGCTAAGAAAATGCAGGTACACAAGTTTAAGCATCAAAGTTTTCTCTTGATTTCAAGTACCAGTTAAATAAAGTCATTGAATTTAGTGAAAAGGAGCCTCCTATTAAGTAGCGGTAATTACGTGCTGTTCTGATTTGTATTTGAATTGCAACAGTAGCATCTCTTTCTGATTATTAATTACTTTTATAAGCCCCTGCAGAAAATGTGTACGTTATCTTTAACTTGCATACTCGTTGTTTACAAGGACGCGACTATTAGTGGTACCGGAGAACAAGTAGTTTTAGTAGGAGCCGCTAGCAAGGGTATTATACAACGTGGTTTCCAACACAATGCGATGGTGTACAAGACACCTTATGCCAAAAATCCTTTCGACGCCGTCACGGATCAAGAATTGGACCAGTACAAGAGAGAAGTCGAACGCAAACAGAAGGGAGATCCTTGTTAGTTCCATTCGTCTCACTTTTCTCATCCAATGTTTTCCTATATTTTGCATGCGCCGTATATTTGTATCCCGTATCTTAGAATTACTCCAATGTTCACTTCAATGTTCACCGGACGTTGAACATTAATATTACCTGTTCTGTAAATAGACGATGAGTCACAATCAGAATCCGAGGCCTTGTCGTCCTTTAACATCAGTCGTGCGACGCATGAATCCAGCACTGCCAAGAGTCCTATTCAGTCACCGGTTTCTGTTACTTCGGAAACGGAGGAGGAGAGTAGAGACGGTAAATTCATACGTTTAATTCACAAACGGGTTTCCTCACGCACTTCGTGCGATGTACCATATTCTGAGTATTCTGACCTTTCATCGTCGACTTTTATTTTCTACGTCATTAACGAACACTCGCGTATACTCCTTTGCTACAGAACCCCGAGTATTGCGAATAGAAACGAAACAAGTGCCTGCGCCGAGTCAACCCGAAGTTGTGTTAAGCGATGGTGAGTCTTTCCTCATATTTTTTTCTTTTTTTTTTTAAATTCTATCCTAAGCAAATGATCTCATCAGCCTATAGATTTTTCAAGTGAGTGATTAGTTACAATGAGACGGTTACTTTAATTCAACTCCGATTCTTGCATGGCCAACTTTTATTTGCGGGCTTTCCTTATTATATTTGCATTATCTGCCTTCATAACAAATTCGCAACTTCACTAATCAGTAAGAGCACGTTACAATTGCGCACAAAGATACACAGTTTTGCACGAGTCTGTGTAATAGTCAATAATTCGCAAGATGAATACTACGTGAGAGATACTAAATACATATAGCATTATCAAGCGTCATGTAACGACATCGGATCACGAGACGCATTTTACTGATGAACAGATATGAATCGTGTACGTATTTATTTTTAATACGCAGTGAATGATGCTACTACAAAGTACCTTAATGAGATGCGCTACAGCATGACTGAGCGACAAAGCGGTTACAAAGGAGGTGAGTTTCATTCTATACAGGCAAATGGGGATCTAAATCCATTATTTCGGATTACTCTTTTCCTGGCACGCACTGTTTACGATGTTCCACTGAAGAACTCGTATCTGATGTTATATTTGTCAAATAATGAAATTGCACGCGACTTTTCTGACTAATGAAAACATGGGCAATGTTAAGAGGAAAAGGTTTTATGAAATTAATTATTCACTTGAAAACTGCGACATAGAGGATACATTATCTTCAGTTTAACTTCGTACATAGTTTTGATATGATTTAATTAAACTCATTTGAGATACGATTTCATCCGGTGTTAAGCTGCACCTTTTCCAGTACGGAATACGCTCCCCATCCGCAATAAAACGCACGTACATACGTTAACCCTTTGCACTCCGAATTATTTATATTATTATAAATATTGCATGTATTAGTTTGGACTTGAAAAAATGTCGAGTGAGACTCGACAAAGGAGCTCCTGAGATAAAAACTGACGTCGAGTCACACTCGACATAGGAGTGCAAAGGGTTAACGATTGTGTAAATATATTCGTTTTCATATTATTACCGATTTGTATGCAAAACTATCACTGTCATGCTTTTGCCGTATACAGCATATGTGTGGAATGCTTTCTCGTCTTCTTTCGCCACTCGAAATAACGATTATAAATGCTTGCACCAATGACTGCCATTCATGCACTTTCGTTAATCTCGTTTCTTCTTTATTTCTACGTGAAATGATGTAGAGATTTTGAAAACTCACGTGTGTTTACATCTGAAATTTGTATCCCAAGCTCATATGAAAATTACATCTTGGGATTTCTTTTTAAAAACGGGGATTTAACTAATGACGAAGACCAATAATGAATAATAATGACAAATAATGATTGATTAATATAAATTCATGATAGCTGTTCTCCTTTTATTTTGCACTGCAACGCGAATCGCTCTAAGTAGTAGTCATACTCGGGATAGATAAAATAGCAGGTTTTGCGCGCAATAATACATTTCTAAAATTCATAAAAGTAAAGAAACTTGTAGCTAGAGGGTGAATATGTAGTTTCGTCGGCTGTAACTATCGTTACTTGTAGCACCTATTTCGAGCGCAGCGTAAGCGACGAAGAAGACCCGCGAATGGTGGAGAGTATCCAAGTGATCGTGAACGTTCTCTCCGTTTCTCCGAAGCGAGCAAACCGATCGATCGTTCGCCGATTCCTACGTCCGAGATATACATTTGGGCATGATGCTTGCAGATTACGAACTAGTCAGCAATTGCGGCAGCACGAGCAGCGAATGTACGCAAACGTACTTCGGCCGGCGGCTTCTCGAACGTCCTTACGATAGCCTCCACTTGGAGAACGTTAGAACCTCGACGACCGCCGAACTAAAGAAACCTCTTCTAATCACGAAAACGCTCGTTAACAGTCAAGACCAGATCAAGCCGAGAGCGTTCTTTCACGACAAGGCTCTCCTAAAGTCGCGCTACGAGGCGAGGCGGAAATTTTTCGAACATCTCGAACGTCAAAGGAGTTTAGCGGCGGACCCGGTCGCATGGACGGAGGCGACGAGTCCGAAGATTGTCGGGTCAACGTTTGAACAAAATCCCGCGGTGGGTTCGAGTGAAAATCCGCATGTTCATCTTGAAAAATTGATTGACGCGAGTACGAAGGAACACGCCGAGAATCCGAACGGCGAGACACGATCGAGCAACGAAATCGCGGAACATTCCGTGGAGTGGACGAGCATCGCGCAGCCGAGTTTCGTTAAACATGTTCAGGTGGAGGAGACGAGTCCGAGTTCGCGTAATATTGTGTCCTGCACGAACGCCGACAGTCAGACAGAGGAGGAAATGGAACGTGAAAGGACTGAATGTCCAACGGTCGAGACGACCGTTTCTATAAAAACGGAGTCTTCAACACCTCGTGGAAATAGATCGGACTCTGTGGCCGGCACGAATGACGAACCGCAACGGCATATATTGGCAGCAACAACGGCGACGAATACGGAAGCGACACTTGCGCGCAGCTGCGCTGAAGCATTTCAGCGTGATAAGAGAGATAACGAGGAAGACTCGCGACTGCCGAGCTATTTCTCTTTCAACAATGAATGGACCATCGATTCTTACATGTATGAGTGCGGCGAAGATAAAGAGGCATCGGCAGATAGGGAAATGAACGGGGAGTTGAAATCGACGGTGGAGCTGAGGAAACAAAGCGTTCGGTCTTGGCTCAAAAGCTCCACGTGCGAGAACAGCTGGCCGAATAGCCCGGAGGTCGACCCGTACGAATCATATTGCAACGATATCACAAAGATTGTCGAGAGCATCGACGTGAATATCGCCTCGTCGAGGACGGAGCTGGACGCGTTGCCCGACACGGACACCTGTGTCAAGTACAATCTTGACTCGACGAATATGAGCCTCATTTACAGCCTGACTCCACCGGCGGCTGTTGACCAAGACGAGAGCTGCAACGACGATACTTCGTGCGATTTGGCGGAACGCTCGTCGGAGTGGCAGTCCGATTCAACGAGAAGCCACAACGACGAGCCGTTGAGCGATTACATATGGATAGAACCGACGACGAAGACGGAGGTCGTCGGGTCCACGCAAAATCGCAGGTCGTCGAGCAAAAGCAGCAGCCACGCGGAGATGGATCAGCCGTCCATATCCGAGAGCCACTCGGCAAGCGGTTCCGACATACTAGAGCTGCCTAGCCGCACGATCCGCGAACTTAAGGACATCGACGGCGAGGTCTTCCTCAACGGGATCAACGAATCCGCCAACGAGATCATCGCCGATCTCAACGCATCCGATGAAGCGCCGTTGAACGACTCTGTGGAAATCGCTCGGCAGATCATCGCCGAAATTATCGAGTCCATTTACGTACTGCTGCATTTAGATTCCTCGATTTACGACCTCAGCATCGTGAGAGAAATCATCCACAACTTGATCGACAGTTACCATCACGAGTGCTCGCTCGTGGGATGTGCCGATCGAGAGTGCGTGTCCGATTTCTTCAAGACGGTCGACAATGACGTTGACAATATTTGTCGTATCAAAGGCTTTCTGGGGAATCTGTCGTCGGACGTTGACGATTGCGATAATCGGGATTATGAAATGGAGGTACACGAGACGGAGGGTAGCGAATCCCCCGCCGTGATCGAGTTTTGCACCGTGGCGAAGAAGTTGCCGGTCGTCGCCATCGATAATGGTGCTTTGGAGTTGAACTTTCGCGTCGTCAAAGTCTCGACAGACGAGTATGCGGAGGTGTCGCCGGGCGTCCATCTTCACCTGTTCGACAGAGGCTCGGTCGACGATGATCGCGGTAAAGCCAGGGACGGCAGAAGCGTAGCCGTGATAAAATCAGAGATGGAAACGTGGCCGTGCGATCAATGCTCCTACTGCCGCGAAGAGGAGTCGATGAGGGAGAAACTGAGTTGCCTGACGCCTATAAGCGAGGAGCCGGACGATGCTTCGCGCCCGCCGGACGAGGTCGTCCATTCCGTCGCACCCGCTTTAAAAAATCCTGTCGACGAGCAGTCGCGTCACTTGGAGGATATCAGCGAAGAGAGCGCGGCGATAAATTCCGCGAGGAAGCCCGTTTCCCTCGACGACACCTACACGATCTCCGAAATTCTCTCGGATGACACGAACGATCTTGAGGAACGGTGCGACGTTTGGGACTCCTCCATAGATTGCATGTCGTATTCGTACGAGACCAAAGAGTTCATGCGCCTGGAGAAAGCCCTCGCGGACAACTCGCGATTGAGCGCGTAACGCTCTGCTCGTCTTTCAGAAAGACGGCGTTATGTCGTATCTTAATTCATGATTGTACAATTGAATCGCCAAAGAGTATCGTTTTTCCCGGTGAGAAGGGCGAAACATGTTTGACGATTGACTCGTCAATACATGCGACCGTGTCGCAACAGCGTGTTGCTCTCACATTTCTTTCTCTTAATATTCACGTGTGCGAGGAGCATACAATGTCGAATGGTTTGCACGCCAGACCTTGCATGCTACTTTGTGCACGTTTACTTAGCCCGTTTAACGCGCCGATTTTCTGTACATTTCCAGAAAAAATGACAAAGACCTGTTCTGTATGAGTACGCGCGCGTTAGATGCTAAGAGACTTGCGTTATTTTAGTATCTGTTAAGTTTTGATGATTCTATTTTTTTCTCATAGCTTTTATAACTTTACCGTTCCTTCGTGAACGAACCCTTGGTCTTTCCCTGCACGATCGACTTTAACCATATCTGAATCGAAAATGAAAATTTGACAATTTCTTACGTGCAGATTAACATTGACATTCTCGAAGTCTTAACGTTGTTTTCTAGTGTTTTGCTTTTCCGCCTATTCTTTTTGTTTTTTCTTTTTATTTTTGTCAAGTTATGACCAACGTACTTGCTATTAAAGACGAAGGATATTGTTGTTTCATGCAATGCACTAATTTTAACGTTGTACTTAATTTTTTTGAATGCGACAATAAGTTTAATTGATTGTTACATTATATGATACGCACTTACGCCATTTCCTACTTACGCTATTGTAACCAAGTTAACTTACAAATGTTTATATAATTCATTTATACATTTTCTAATATCTACCGCAACAGCCTCAAGGTGTTTGATGATATAAAAGTTTGCACATTACGCTTCTTATCATTTTTCTCGTCGTTCTATTCGGACCTGCGTCAATCCTCACCGTTTATCCCGTTACCTTTTCAACGCTCTACGTGCACCTTGCAAGCTGCGAATGATCGATGCTAAAACGTGTTTGCTTGGGAATGATTGAGTTTATGTAACGAGCGAGTATACTCTGATGAGTGCCAACCAACGTCGGTTTTTCGAAAGGTAAGATGTCTGTCTCTTTCTCTCGCTTCTTCTCATTTTTATGCTTAAAGTTTGATAACACATAATCGACAGCTCGGCGAGACTAATTTCAATCCTTCGGCGTGCAGATTGCTTCGCAATTAGAACGACTGTCTCATTACCGTTGCTTGACGGGTTCGATTATTTTGTTATTACAACGAACTGAGGATTCACGTCCTGAATAATCAATTATTTGTGTTCCAGGAGAGAATACCGTAAACGGCGATCATTCGGACGCTCATCACAGTACTTTTTCGCATAGTAGCAAGGAGGTTTGTCAAAATATTTTTAATATCAAAACCACCGCACACGATACCATATACCATATGCGGGGAATCGGTCTGTAAGATTAATATCTTGTACGTTTCATCATTCGTATTTCCAACGATTCTTGATTACGTTGACGCGCACTTCAAGTGAATTTAGAGGAGTATCACGCGAATGCAAATCGTTTAGGTCTCATTCTCCGAGTTATACTAAAGGCAAGTGTTTCGAGTACTCGCTCCGCAACTTTCTCTTTTCGAAACTAATACTAGTGCACTTCGAACATTTTTCAAAAATCATTTGTAACTCGAAAAATTAAGTTTTAAACGGCTCTATGATAGTGGACAAATCTCCGCATATGTGCGTCGGGTTTCTCTTATATGTCGCATCACATTTTTACATCCCTCATACATTCGTTAATACATGGGAACGCTGTTTTCGCATTGAAATGCTGAATAAGAAGTTTCTCGACTTACAATGCTACAAGAGATACAGCGTGTCCGACTCGAGCAGATTGTCGCTTCACTTTTTGCATAAATTTCCACAATTACAGTCGGCATAGCCGTTCATAGATTCGCTTCCTACAATCTGTTCTATTGTTCTATCGATTTGCATGCGACCAGATAATTGGCTAATAGAACGATTAAGCGTGAAAGTTCGGCGCTCTATGCATGTGCATGCAGAAAGGTTTATGGTTACGGTTGGGACCTTCCGTGTTAAGGGTTCCATGTCGCAGGATGTGAGCGTTAGCGAGGAATCGCCGAAGAAGGAAAAGAAGAAGAAGAAGGGCCTTAGGACGCCATCCTTCCTTAAAAAGAAGAAGGAAAAGAAGAAGTCGGTCGAGGCGTAGGTAGTCTTAGCTCAGGTAAGCGATGCCGGCCAAAGTCAGTCTTTATTCTCTGGATTTTGATATCGGCGTAAAGGATATATTTCGACCATTTGCGAACAAATATATTTCTGGATCTATTGAACGTCGTTATCTCTATCTTTCGAACATTAGTATGCTTACGCTAAAACTTTGTTTATTAACTGTGATCCACAAATCGATCGTACGACCGAGAGCGAGTCGCTACTTCTTTCAGATCTTTCCTCTCTTATAGCATCGACTGTGCAATTTTGGATAGTACTGCGGTTTTCTGATAAATAATGAAAAATTTCAGTAACTCGCTCGCTCGATCGATCGTCCCAGTCGACGTGGTTAATTTATTGATCCCGGATGTTGCTCGTTGAAGGTATGGAAGAAAAGTTAAAGCTTTCCCTCTAGAGATTAGACGCGCTCGCGCTAAATATCATTCGTATGGCTGCAGCAACGATCAAGTCATGTTTTCTAATAGAGTTACATTCGCGTAAATGAATATAAATAAATACTGATTTATTCATGTATGATGCCCAATGAGATACCGTGCGTTACTGACGTTGTATTAACGTGTATACTTCCAGACACTGCCACAAGCAAAAGCTTCTCGTAAAACATAAAACGAACATGCAAGTTTGAACACAAGATCGAAACGAGCTCGGTTTAAAATAAAGGACGAGATTCGACGAGTAACGAAGCACGGACGAATGGCGGAAGGTGAAACGGAGGTGGACGGAGGTGCGCGAGGAAAAAAAATCGGAGTGAACGAGCAACAATCACAGCATCTTTCCAGGACTCAAGACTGCCATCGCATTACGTCTACGATAAGGAAACTATATTGTACTGTTAATGTTTTTACGTTTTTAATTTGTTAAGCGTCGCGCTAATGTATTTAATCCGCTATTTAATTTTGCCTCTCCTATCCCGTTTGTGTGTAACGCAATAAAGAGTTACATATGCATACTTTGCGACGAAGAAAGACAGATAGATAAAGAGGGAGAGGCGTCATCATTATTGTCGTCTTTGTTATATCTTATTCCGTCAATGTCGACGCCGTTGCCGTTGCCATCGTCGTCGTGATTCTCGTCGTCCTCTTTCTGCTCGTCGTTGTCATCGATATTGACATCAACGTTGTCATCGTCGTCGCTGCCGCCGTCTTCGTTATAATCATCACTAGCATTATCATCATCATCGTCATCGTTATCGTTATCGTTATCGTTATCGTCATCGTCATTATTATTGCCGCCATCGCCATTATCATAGTCATCCTCGTCGTTGTCGACGTTGTTGCTATTATGGTCATCGTTGCTATTTGCTTCTACTCTATTTTTTTGCCCTGTCAAGATTCTCTCGATTCTTTGATTGTAACTGGTAATTTTTAGATTAGGTGAAAATTTTTCGTACGGTCTCTCTTGAAGCGGAGGGATGCGATAGTTGGCGTAAACGTTTACGCGAATGTTGATCGGATACGAAGCATATTTTGTCTCGTACGATTTTCGTGAATTTCACTGGGCGATACCGAGTCAGCTTTGTCGCGAAGTAAAAGAAAAAAAAAGAGGTAGAAGTGAATGCGAAAGGCTGTGTTCTAGAATTTGAAGCTGGCGTGCGAAAGAAATGCGTTACGAGAATACGGATCTCACACGACTATCCTCTGTATCAAAAGCATCCCGGACAATAGAAATCGCCTCTGACTCCCGGACTGATGTACTCGTCTTCGTGATATGTATAAAGTAATTTGTGCCGTACGATATCCCGTCGATTACGATTGTTACCGAGTTGAAAACTTTATTACAACTGTCTATCGATTGGCGCTTCGACATAATACTTTATAAGGCTATCGACATAACATACTTTATAAGTTTTATCAATTCAATAAAAGGAAAAATAGCGTTATGCAGATAGTAAGTCGTGCCTCACGGCATTTATCAGCATTGTACTGTTACCAAATTTGAACAATCGGTAAGCTTAGGTATGTCCAGTAAAATGGTATAAAGTACAGTAGAATCAGTGTGTGGAAACTGAAGTGGGGTACACCGAAGTACGGCGACGTGTGCTTTCGCGAAATTTTCAACTTAAAAATATCTACCTATTCGACCTAATAGTTTAAACATTTCAAATCGGAGTTTATTATGACGAATATTTGTTGTACAGATATAAGTGCAGAACCATGTAATGATTTTTGCTCTTCGTTCCCTTTTGCGACGAATTAATTACTCATCGATGTGTAAAAATGTGCCTTTCGTACCTTCGTCAATCGATTAGTCTTAGCGTTCAGCATCCGTTTCAATCTTTACCGTTTCAATCTTTATCTATTGATTTACAACTGATCGTTCGATTTGCCCTTGGTCGTCGCGTGTCATCTGCAGTTGAATAACAGCTTTTTGCAGTAACTTCAACAAGTCGAACTTGGTTGGACCAAGTAAGTAACAAATATCTTTCCCAGAGAGTCGTGCTTGTCTTCAAAATGGTCGTACGTTTTAATTAAATCAGAAAATTACTTAATAAAAGGGCGAGAGTCACGAGTGCGGAACGTTGCAAATTTATCGTGATTTCCCTTGGCTTGTTGAAGCTATCGAGGAGCGTTGTTCAAATTGATAATTCGAGCACTAATGATTACGTACTTTTATCTATAATTGACGATCGACCGCTTATACAACGTGTGTTTTGTACAAATGAAGTCGGCGTTATATCTATATATAGCATATGTATAACTGTATGTATATCTGCGCGTAACGCTGAATCGTGTTATGCGTAGAATCGAGTATATGTAAACGAGGAGTATATATAGTGCTGTTTTAACAGTTTGAGCATTATGAATCATTCATGCTCGAAGTGGCTGGAAGGACTAGACGAGTAGATAACAATGAGAACGAAATAAAGCGCACATGCACATTGGCTTGCAAGTTTTTTCCGTTTTTATCAAATGCATGCGCGAGGTGAGAAATTTGATATATTTTATTTTGCGTTGTTTTTATCGAGATCGATGTTGACGACCGTGATTATTATTATTATTATTCGCACTATTATTACTTTTTTTTAGTTTATTATCAAAATATTGTATTAATATTATCATCGCTATTATTAAATAGTTTAATTCTTAAGATCAGCGGCGATTACCATCGCCGCATTATATCTAAAGTGCAAAGAAATTGCGAGTTGAGCTCGTGATGCAATCGAATTTGCACATTGTGCTTTCTTCCTCGAGTGACAATTCATCGCGAGATCCCACGTGCTTCATCGACCTGACTTACGACACATCTGTGAAGAAATATCTGCCCATATATACTTTCTTCTCGCCTCCTCTCCCTTCATCCTTCACTCGTATTCATGTATCATGTAATGATCGGTAATAATTGTACGATCGAAGACGTATATTAATGCAATCTATTATTGTATAATGGTTGATATAATATATAAATAATATTACAACAAAATACACGAGAAAGTATTTTTAGATGTGCTTACGTTTCTCAGTAATTATTTCTTCAAGCAATACAAAGTGACTGTTGTCGCGAGGAAGCGAATACACGCCTCTCGTCGAAGGTTCCATACGTCACAAGGATCCAACCGGAATAGGAAGCAACGGGGAAAGTTAACGTCGTTTCAGATTGCGTTATAGGAGAAAACTTACAGCAGGCGATAAGTGGCAAGCGTCGTAGTACAAATATACGAAATGTACGAAGAGAGCAGGAATCTTGATCGTTAGTCTTTAGTATTCCTCCGCGGCATCTCCCTCGCCGTCGGTGGAGTCCATACCGACTTCCTCGTAGTCCTTCTCCAGGGCGGCGAGATCCTCCCGCGCCTCCGAGAACTCGCCCTCCTCCATCCCCTCGCCGACGTACCAATGCACGAAGGCTCTCTTCGCGTACATCAGGTCGAACTTGTGATCGAGCCGCGCCCAAGCCTCGGCGATCGCCGTCGTGTTGGACAACATGCAGACTGCGCGCTGCACCTTGGCGAGATCGCCGCCGGGTACGACGGTAGGCGGCTGATAATTGATGCCGACCTTGAAGCCCGTGGGGCACCAATCAACGAATTGGATGCTGCGCTTGGTCTTGATAGTCGCGATTGCCGCGTTAACGTCCTTCGGCACTACGTCGCCTCTATAGAGCATACAGCACGCCATGTACTTTCCATGTCGGGGGTCGCACTTGACCATCTGATTCGCGGGCTCGAAGCAGGCGTTCGTTATCTCGGCGACGGAGAGCTGCTCGTGATATGCCTTTTCTGCGGATATTACGGGGGCATAGGTGACCAGGGGGAAGTGAATCCTGGGATAGGGTACCAAATTAGTTTGGAACTCGGTCAGATCGACGTTGAGCGCGCCGTCGAAACGCAGCGAGGCCGTGATCGAGGAAACGATCTGGCCGATCAGGCGGTTCAGATTGGTGTAAGTCGGCCGTTCGATGTCCAAATTACGTCTGCAAATGTCGTATATGGCCTCGTTGTCCACCATGAACGCGCAGTCTGAGTGCTCGAGGGTGGTGTGCGTGGTGAGGATCGAGTTGTACGGCTCGACAACGGCCGTCGAGACCTGGGGCGCCGGATAAATTGCAAACTCGAGTTTCGACTTTTTTCCGTAGTCCACCGACAGTCGTTCCATCAGCAGGGACGTGAAGCCGGAACCGGTGCCGCCGCCGAACGAGTGGAAAATCAGGAAGCCCTGGAGCCCCGTGCATTGATCCGCCAGCTTGCGAATGCGATCCAGGACGAGGTCGACTATCTCCTTACCGATCGTGTAGTGGCCGCGCGCATAGTTGTTGGCGGCGTCCTCCTTGCCGGTTATCAGCTGCTCCGGATGGAAGAGTTGCCGGTACGTACCCGTGCGTACTTCATCTGGTGCAGAGCATTGGTGAGTGAGATTCGGCCATCCGATTAACGGAATATCATTACGACGTACTCACCCACGACGGTCGGCTCGAGGTCGACGAAGACTGCTCTGGGTACGTGCTTCCCGGCGCCGGTTTCGCTGAAGAAGGTATTGAAACTGTCGTCACCGCCCCCGAGTATCTTGTCTGACGGCATTTGCCCGTCGGGTTGGATACCGTGCTCCAAGCAGTACAGCTCCCAGCAGGCATTCCCGATTTGAACTCCCGCCTGTCCCACGTGTACGGATATGCATTCACGCTGCGAAAAAAATATTACAAGTCCGATAACGCACCGGCTCGTTTTCTTGCCGAGACTCGCTTTATAATCCTACGTTCTTAATTAAATTTATAATTTAGATCCGCGGTGGATGAAACAAAATTCCATCTGTAATTTCACGATACACGAAAGATAGTTGAATATACACGTAGAACGCATATCGGAGTGCGTACTTGTTTAATATGTAACGTGTAAAATTATAAATAGAATTCCAACACAATAATTATAGATAATCTAAGGCGGAGAAGGTGCTCTA